GGGGTAAGGGCGGCCGCGCCGCGGGGCGGCCCAGGCGGCCCTGCCAAGGCATTGGAGTTGCTGCGGACGCTGCCCCGGGTCAACCTGGGCAACCTGCAACCCAACCCAGAAAACAAGCGCAAGGTGGGTGCCGCGGCGGCGCTGCCCGCCTGGCGCATGGCCGGCGGGTGGTGGGGCTCCCGGAGCCGAAGGCCTTGCTACAGCCGGGCCCGCGGGGCGTCACTGCCCCTGGCGGCCCCGTGGATGGGGCCAGCTCAAACCGACCAGCGTTTGATCCCCATCGAAGCAGGTCGTGTGCACGGTGCGCCCCGGCGAGCTGCTGTCTGCCCCTCCCCAGAGAGGACCCTGTACAGGGCCGGGAACGGGCCTTAGCTCGCTCTGTGCCTTGTGCTGCAGGGGGGCTTGAGGGGGGGACGGCGGCCTTGTCACTCTGTAGGATTCTGGGGCAAGGAGCTCCTCCATCCTCAGGACAAATGCAGTTTCCATTCTCAGTTTTCAAGACTGATTGCACCTATATTGAGATGGAGATAAAGCGGCCTGAGCGCTGACAGACTACAACAGGTTGGCAAGCTTTTAGCACTGTGGATTCTTATGGAAGTCTTGCTTTGAACTAGCTAACTTCCTGAGGCCCCTTCTAACTCCAGGTTTCTAGGATTGTGCCAGTCCACTGTAGACATGCTCTTACCTGTGATATATGCACTATAGTTGTTCCTCTGTAACGGCGAGGTTAAACTTGATCTCATGCTCAAATCCTTACAGGCAGATGTTGCAAGGATGGTAGCTTGGGACCTTTACATTTATCCTTTTAAGGTGTAGGAATAATGCATGCTCTTGCTTATGTCTGCAATGTTTTATTCTGTAACATTGAATAAATTGTAGTTTGTGACATGTGGTTGTTGCCATATCAGTATGTATTGAGGGTGTCTAACTTGTGAAAAACCTTGTACCTGTATCAGCATCCTTTTGATGCAGACTCTGTTCCAGTGCACTTACTCACATGAGGGACTTGCAGCCTGCCTATGCGGTGCTCAGGAGTGGGGGGACAGGTGTTTAATTAGAGCAGTTCCCAGAAAGCTGCTCTAATTAAAATACCCCATGATCACATCTGTTAAACCTCTGTGCATCTAAAAATGGCCATGGGATGCTTGAGTTAAACCTCGTTTGATGTGATGATGAGGTGACACTAGACTGTTTTTAATTAGAACAGGAGGAGACTTGATTAATCAGCTTTACTGACTACCAAGCTACCATATGCTACACCAGGGTTGTACAGCCCTCAAAGAGCTTGGATCAGCAACATGCTGTGACATATGGGCCCACCTGTTTTAAGGGGGTTCATTTTCAAGCCACCTGCTGCTGCCTTAGCCTTCCCTGCTTTGCCAGGAGCTGGGCTCTTATGCACCTTACAGCTCAGCTCACTATCGCTGCTGAATTAGCTGTTCTCCACTGGTATTGTCAAGCCATTCGGCAGTGTTTTGATAAGCAGAGGCTGTATTTGGAGTGTATGGGAGAGTAGTCCTTGTAAACAGTAGTTTAAAAAGGAGGAAGCATGAACATTCATTTTATTAATGATCCATGATTGCATATATTGTTACCAGGACAGCACGTATGTAAGTTAAGAAAAATGTCCTGCTTCAATAAAGTTAGTCAGATATTTCCATTATGTTGTTAGGAGTAAGGCTGAGAACCAAGATTTTAGAATTTCTTGCCTCTTATTTGGTAGTGAAATAGGATGAGATCTTTTCCCACTCAGCTTCAAATAGAATCCTTGTAAAGTTGTGGGGTGGGGGGGAAACAGAAAATTAGGGTTGGGAGGGACCTCAGGAGGTCATCTAGTCCAACCCCCTGCTCGGAACAGGA